CTTGTTGAAACTGTATAAAAGCCAAATAAACGCTGCAGAGGCAGACAGACATTTTGGACACCTTCTGTGATGGTGTCCCATTGACCATGATGTGATCACATGACCTTGGAACCATGCAACCGTCATAAATATGAGCCAGTTGCCAAGTGGCCGAATTTGGATCATATGACTATGGGGTGCCTCAGCAATTATAAATGTGAAAAGTAGTCACTTTCCACTGCCACTGTAACTTCGGTCACTAAATGTAAGATTTGTAAATCAAGAACTACCTGTATGTATTGCCTTTTAGAGAACAGTGGCAGGCAGATAGGAAGAGTAACTTAATTTCAGCCTGTGGACTAAAAGTGAGATAAATTGAACTCAGAGCTTCTTTTTTCTGCTACTTCTGTGAGTAATATATTCTGGCCCCATTCTCCAATGAAATTCAGCTTTGGAAGAGATACTTTACTTCTTCCTTTTGATTTGTGATATCTCCCATGTTGTTTTGAAGAATTCTAACATTACAACTTGGGATTTGACAGATAAAGGATAATAGTTCAATTCTGTATTATCTCCTGTATTTCATAGCACAAAGTATTGTTGTTGTTTTTTTTGCCAAATTATAGCCTAGCATAATATTTTGATAGGATAAAATTGCTTATTCATAGCTTTCAATGCATGATTGATTATGAATTTTGTATTTCAGTTTCTTAATGAAGCTGGAAATTCAGCTGAGAATTGAGAATTCAGTTACATATGTAGGAAGAGCAGATCTATTTCATAGAAGTTAATATAGGTTTAAAAAGTGCTCTGCATGAAATTTATTTACAATATAGGGAAAATAAGAATAAAATGGTTTCTCTGTTCTGTACTAAATGAAACCAGATCTTCAAGTAAAACCACGGCAGATTTGCCTAATCTTTATTTTGTTATTTAAAGAATACTAGTAAATATAATTTCTAGTACATTTTTGAAGTAGTACAATGATATTTGCTTAATCGGTTATACATACAGTATACTTGCACCAAAAATGAACTTAAGTCTTCAAAGAATTCTAAAAAGTTTTTTTATAGGGGTGCTAAGCTTGTGAGAAAAAGAGAGTATTTTGTCTTTAAATTGCCATTTTTGTGTGGGCATGGTTTTGCGGATTGGTGTCCATGTTACCAGATCCATGGGATGTGTCCTGAGATGATTTATGCATATTTAAGTATCTTTTTGTGGCCTATCAGCCGCCGGCTCCTCTAGCAGCCAAATTAGAAGAGGAGGCGGAGGCCTGGGAGTCCGAGGGGGAAGAGAGAATGGAGCTGGTAGAGAAAGAGAGAGAGAGGCAGA